TGGTCCATGGGTGTCCCCCCCCCCGGCCCTCGCACTCACCCTCAGGGCCGACTGCAGCACCTTGCTCTTGCGTGTGGCTTTCTTCAGCCTCTCGCTGGCCAGGCGAGCCCCCTCGTCCCTCGGCCCAAAGTGCCAGGGGTCGGTGCCAGTGAAGAGGCTGCCGGCGGGGGTCGGGGCACTGGGTCCGCTGGGGGCCGGTGGCCGGAGGCTCTCCTTGGGCTTAGCCTTCAGCTTCTTCTTGCCGCCCTCCTCGCAGCCGCCCGCCTTCCGCCGCGCCGGCACCTTCTCCAGCTTGCCGGCTCCTGGCTTCACCGGCCGCCTCTTGATCTTCACCTCGCCCTCGGGGCTACCGAGGCGGCAGGGCCCTGTGGAGGCGGGGAGCGGGCTCAGCGCATGCACCCGGGGAGAGGGTCCTCATCCCCCATGTCGCCCCCCACCCCGGCATCCCCGCGGGGCGATCCCGTTACCTAGCAGTCCCTGCCTTTCCTTCTTCTTCTTCGCCTTTTCGTTGGCCTCCATCTTCACCACGGAGGATGGCGAGGGTCCGAGCACGGCCACGGGCACCGAGGGCGGCAGGGACAAGCCCGGCTCATCGTCGCCGTCCTCGCTGTCTGTGTCCCCGTCGTGCTCATCTGCAAGAGGAAGGGGGGAGCGGTAAGGGACCCCGTGCACCCAGGGGTGGCCCCTGCCCCCCCCCCCTCCATCCCCAGGGAGATGCTGCTTCCCTGTGCAGGATGGGGTGAGCTGGGGACCCCCGGCACGAGCCACCCCCCCCACCCCTGCAGCTGGACGTACCCCCCAGTCCTGGCCCCTTGTCACCCGCTCTGCACCCCCAGCCCCGCGCCGGACCCTGCACCCCCAGCCCCACGCCAGCCTTACCTTTGAAGCCCGCCGGTTGGCGGGGGTCGGGGTCCTGCGTCTGGTACTTGGCAGCCTTGGAGCTCTTGGGACGGGACAGCTTCTTCTGGATGCGGCCGGCAGGGTTGGGGTCTTTCCGGCGGAAGGGGCTGATGCCGGCGGGCAGCCCTTTGCTCTTCACCTTCTGCTTCAGCTGCGAGACCTTGTGAGCCACCTTACAGGCCAGCTTGCCTTGCGACCCGCTCTTCTTGCACCGCACCTTCTCCTGGGGGGGGGGCACAGGTTGGTTCGGGATGGGGCTGGAACCCCCCCCCCAAGCCCCGGGGTGGCATTTGCCGGTGGCAGGTCCGAACTCACCGGGGAGCCCTTAAGGCTGCCGAACGCCGCCTCGGCCAGCTTGCTCCTCTTCTTCTTGGGCTCAGGGTCTCCCCGCAGCTCGGCGCACAGCAGGGACAGGCTGGTCTTCACCGCCCTGGTGGGGAGCGCGGCGTGGGCACGGCGCCCACCGGACCCCCCCCACCCAGCCAGATCCTGCACCCCCCCCAGCTGGATCCCACACCCCCGGCCGCATCCTGCACCCACTGGCCACTGCCAGCCGCCGGCTCCCCTCCTGCTTTCCCCCCTCCCCGTAACCTTCACTCGCTCACTAATGTTTTGTGACATAAAACCTAGAGATTAATTTTTTTTTCTCGCCCCCCCCCGCTCCGTCTTAATTGAAGGAACCATTTAGCGCAGATTTAACTGTTATTACCGAACGGGGGGGCCGGGGGCCGTGCGCGCACACACGCTCCAAGCGTGTTTGGACTCGCTCGGAGGATTTATGCAAATGGGCCTGTCGGGAGAGGCAATTTGTAGAGGAGAAGGACAATTATACAGGGCCCGGGAGTGGGGAAACGGCTGCGCCGGGCGGCTAATGGGTAATAATAAAGCGCCGGCAGCGATGAACGCCGCTGCAGCGTGACCAATGGCTTTATACGGCGCAGATAAAGAGGCTTTTATGCAACGCTGCTCCCGCAGCCGGCGGGAGGGGGAACACGGTGCTGCCGCCCAGCCGAGCCCCCCCCACTCCGCCGCAAGCGGGTCGAGAGCGGGAACGCGCCGGAGCGAGCGGCCGGATCCCCCGAAACGTGGCTCCTGCTGATGGCGGATGGGGTGGGGGGGGGATGCGACGGGGCGGCCCCCTGAGCACCGCCACCCCCGCGGCAGGACGGCCAGACCCCCCGGCAGCGGGACCGGTGGCCCGTCCCCGGGGACAAGGAGGGCACGCGGCAGCAGTCACTCACTTGACCTTGCGGCTCTCAGCCCTGCCCAGCGTGCTGGAGTGCTTGCGCTTCCTCGGCCGCCCCGGGCCGCGCCGCGCCGGGCTCCGGGAGCTCTCGTCACGCCTGCAGCCGCGGCAAGACCAGGGACACCCTGAG